GGACAAGGATCTTCGTTAGAGGATCCTGCTATTTAGTTAAAGGATTTTTGTTATAAGAATTTGTTCTTTGTAGGGGTTCTATGGTATGGCTTTGAATTAGTTCTTTGTATTTAATTATTCTGCTATGTAATTGAATGAATTTGTATTTAAATTTTGTGTATAAATAATTGACTTAGTGATATCTGTTATTTTCCCAAACTCAGCTCAACGGTAAACTGGAAAATAATTTATAATCCAGTATTAGTGTTGGACTCTCAGAAAATACCACAAAAATTAACAAACTTAATATGTCATCATATAGGTACATTAACAACACTGATTACAACATACTTACGATAAACACAAAATGCCACAAAAATTGGGATAACTTTGTAAAAAGAAACAAAAGGAGGAAATGAGTATATCTTTTTCTGTAACTAAGAACTATGAAGTGACAGCAATATATGTTACACAGATGTAGTCAAACCTGTTAGCACACATCAATTACTAGTAATTGCAGTAACACACATCTCATAGAAACAAAGGATTGGTTCACACCAACGAACACAAAGATTTCGGTAACAATGCATTCATCTGTTGACATTCTTGTTTCTCATCAGATAAATATACAATTCAGAAGAGATTGAAGGAACCAATTTCTTTCTCACAGACCTATCAATACGACAAAGAATAATACGATAAGTGAAGAAAACATGTTAACTGAAGAATGAGGAAATAACACTGCGTTAGCAAGAATTATTAATTAATCAAAGAAAGTAGTGAATAAATAAAAGCTTCCTACTAAATGCATGTAACACATCACCAATAAATTATCATTACATTTCAAGAGCTGAACATACCATTTATGCATGTATCATCATCTTGTGCATCTCTGTTGTCGTCAAAGTCAATTAAGGATAATCCGAAATTCTCGTAGAAACCCACACAATTCATAAATAACATCGATGAATTCAGTTATTACAATGTAATTTAAGGAAGTACTAAATATAAAGAGTATAAAAACTCAACTCTGTTTGAGACTATACTGCTTGATGGCCTAATTCAATGTAATATATCAATGTTAACTTTGTTAACTTTAAGGTCTAGAAAGCTAATCAATATCCTCTGTTAATCAAACAGTTTTTTCTGTATCAAATGCATCATAGTCATTCCACAAAGTCAATATAAAGGGAAAAAAATAACAAAAATTCTCATTAAACTACAACAATATAAGGGAAGAAAACACATATAAGCAACTTTTCACATTTGATATACTCATAACTACAAACAATATACCCAATTCATTATCAATAGTGTACTTACTTCCATCATAGATATGAAACGAAAAGACTTCAGATAAAAACATGCATTATGTGTATTGTGGATAAACAGGTTGTGAAATGTTCAAAATATCAGGTTCTTCTTTTTGATTTGTAAATATTAAATTTTAAAAAGGGAAAGCAAAATTATCAAGGAAATTTTAACCTTCTTCTTTTGACTTCCAAAAAAAGGAATTCATCTTCAATATCTCTCCCAATAACACCTTAACACAGGTTACAAACATAGATGCGATTATCGGCTTTTAGCCTTTCACAGCCACTAGAGGGAAGTGTAGAGTACCAGTTATTAGAATGAGTGTAGAACAGCAAAAAGAGACTTTGAGAACAAAAGGAAAATGACATTTTAAATGACTTTGGTTTGAAGAAGAGAAACCTATAAAATAAAAGATAATGTGAAAAAGAAGTAGAAAACGAACAACTGTTGAAGGAGCAAAGCTATGGAGGGAGGAGTGTGTGCCTCTGCACTTAGCCGCATCACAGATACTCTTGTGGTGTTTGCTTCTTGTTGAAAGCCCACACTGATCAATACAGAAAGTGAAAGTCAATTATATGCTATAAATTGGAAAAGCTTCATATGATCAAAGCACGGAGCCGTGTGATAAATACAAAGCGAACTATTCTTTCGCCTTTTACTAAAGAATACCGTGTATTTGTCACATTAAGCGGCATACGCCTATTTTTGTGAAGGGATCTTTTAGATCCTGCAATTGTAGTCTAAATTTTGCTGTTATTCTAAGTTTTTTGTATACTATGCTATATGCAAGATAATATTATTTGTCAGAGTTACTATACTATTATATGATAAATAATGTTGTGTGTTATGGTAAGTTTGGTCTGTTTGGTCTGATATTTGAAGGAAGTTTATAGACACTGCAATATTAGTCTAGATTTTCAAATTATTGCTGTTGTTTCCATTTATTATGTTTCTTTTAATATTAATAAAAGAAAATTTAGAGGATAGATTGCAAAAGGTTGTGTAAAGAGTACATTTTATGCAAGTTAAAAGTAAAGTTAAACAAAGGATGTTCATAAAAGAATATAGAGATTTAAAAAAAGTCTGAAATTGTCATATTTTATTATAGTGAAATATGTTCTTTTATTCTTTTTACGACTTTGATCAATTAATTAAATAGAAAATAAACTATTTTGACCATTTCATAAATTTTATTCATTCTATTTTGAATTTTATTACGTTTATTAAATTATTTATATTTAATCAAATTTTATTTTTTGATGTATTAACACTATCATTTAATTGATGAAATTGATTAACACATTGATTGATAAAAATAAAACATGAAGAAATTAAATTTCTAATTAAAAATATTAAACGTACATAAAAATACAAAGTTATTACATCATTCAAATTACTTAATAAAAAATAAATTACAATTAGAAATACATTAATAAACCAACAATTAATATGAATAAATCAATAATAAATAAGAATGCAGTTAAGAATTTTGATGAAAATTTCTCATTTTTTTACCATATATTCAAAGTCTCTAATTTTATACAAAGTATAATTTAATTATCAATATTTAAAATGAAAATTAAACTTATTTTAAACTATCACTAACAATAAAAAATATATTTTTGTGTAAAATTAAAATAAAAATTAGACTTATTATTAGTGAAGGTAGAAGGTAAAGGTAGCAGAAAAGCAAAATATATTTTTGTGTAAACAATGATTTTTTTTCCTATGTATATGTTCAACTTGATTTTACCGTTTCATCTTGGTGCAGTTTCATCTCTAGTGTTTTTTAGCTCAATATGTATTTGCATTTTATGAACATTTTCTGAAAGTTGAAATTGTGAATGTCATCGTGGTGAGAAACTCTTGTATGCAACAGTTGTATTTAATAAGAAAGTGATTAAATATACATGCATCTTTACAAAATTTACCAAATTTTATTTTATTTTGAAAACTAGGTGATTAGAGGTTGTCATTTTTTAAGGCATTGAAAAAAATGGTGTATGTTATTTGTAAAATAATTTTACTTCAATGCTATATTTGGAATCACAGAAGAATGTTTTTAATTATGCCTACAACTTAAACAATTTAATTTAGTAAATTTCTTATTATCTTTATTATATATTATATTAACAATAAAGTAGCTTATAAAAATGAAATGTTTTTTTCATATATAAAAAAAGTTCTCTTTAACATTGGGACTTAAAAAAGATTGTATAAAATTTCTTATAGTTTTATATCGCTTAATAAAAAATTAAAATAGTTTAAATACTCTGTCACTTATGAAATATGATTTATTTTAAAATATGAGATTCTATTATTAATTTTATTTTTAAAAAATATCTCTGAATAATTAAATTACTTTAAGTATCAATTTCTAAACGTCATAACTTTGACATTCTTGTTATTTCTTATACTCTCGTTTCAAAACACAAAAGTGAGATTTTCCTCCAATTCATGGAAAGTAAAAAACTCCTTCCATCCATACCAAATTTTGATGGACTTTCTTTGTGTTCTATATTTGACCGTTGTTGTACACACAGAACAAATAAAGAGAAGAAATAAAACAAGCAAAATTATCTGATAGTTGAACAGTAAGAATAGATAATAAGGATAATAAAAATATATATATAACATATAATTTCAAATTTTCTAAGCAGTTGTAAATGACAATATACTTATAAACAGAGCATTTAATGTTTGGAAAATAAATAGCAATTTTCAAATGGGTGCATACCCATAGACTCCATACTTAACCGAAATTTAGAACAGTACACACTACAGAATATTAAAAAGTAAAAAATAGGAAATAAATTAACAAAAGTTTCACACATATCGAAAATGCAAGTATGTCTGTTAAGGTTAAACAAAATTGGTTTGAGAAGATGAAAAAACGCCTTAGCATTGCAGAAAACAAATTGGGTTGAGAAGAAGAAAGACATTATGCTGTGTGTTTCGGTCACAGAAAAGAACTCAACCAAAAAAAAAGGAAAAAAAAATCAGATCTTACCAATCTCAAACACTACCTCATGATTAAAACACAAACTTGAACAGCTTTAAGGTTCATCAGTGAAGAAAACCTAATGACATTTTAAACGACTTTTTGGGTTGAAGAGGAGTAACCTGAAATAAAAGATAATGAGACAAAGAAGTAGAGAACGAACAATTGTTGAAGGAGCAAAGCTATGAGGAAAGAGTGTGACTTTGGACTTAGCCGCATCACAGATACTCTCTGTGGTGTTTGCTACTTGTTGAAAGCCCACACTGATCAATACAGAAAGTGAAAATCACTTATCTGTTATAAATTGAAGAAGCTTCAGAAGGTCAAAGCACGGAGCCGTGTGCTAAATACAAANATTTGCTAGCTTATACAGGCTTATAAACTCCTAAGAGAAAGAACTTTAAAACAGGTGAGGAAATATCCAATTGGAGAGATATTCGATACATTCTTTCTATTTTATTCTTCTCTATGGTTCTTCCTTTCTCACAAGTTCAGTTAAACTGTGGTCTAGTTTCTTCTTCCTCTACTTTGAGATAATAAAGAGAGTAAAAGGAAAGACAGTAAAATAAAATTGCTTTAAAGATGAAGTTGAAGCAGTGTGTTTATAGCAGAGTGTTTTTTAAGAAAGCCCAAATCAGAAACGTTTGAAGTTAAACTTAAATTTTATGCTATAAAATGGAACGCGAATCTTTATTTGAAAGCACGGAGTCGTGTGATAAGTACATAGCGAACTATTCTTTCGCCTTTTACTAAAGAATACCGTGTACTTGTCACTTTAAGCGGCATACGCCAATTTTTGGACAAGGATCTTCGTTAGAGGATCCTGCTATTTAGTTAAAGGATTTTTGTTATAAGAATTTGTTCTTTGTAGGGGTTCTATGGTATGGCTTTGAATTAGTTCTTTGTATTTAATTATTCTGCTATGTAATTGAATGAATTTGTATTTAAATTTTGTGTATAAATAATTGACTTAGTGATATCTGTTATTTTCCCAAACTCAGCTCAACGGTAAACTGGAAAATAATTTATAATCCAGGTATCAGTGTTGGACTCTCAGAAAATACCACAAAAATTAACAAACTTAATATGTCATCATATAGGTACATTAACAACACTGATTACAACATACTTACGATAAACACAAAATGCCACAAAAATTGGGATAACTTTGTAAAAAGAAACAAAAGGAGGAAATGAGTATATCTTTTTCTGTAACTAAGAACTATGAAGTGACAGCAATATATGTTACACAGATGTAGTCAAACCTGTTAGCACACATCAATTACTAGTAATTGCAGTAACACACATCTCATAGAAACAAAGGATTGGTTCACACCAACGAACACAAAGATTTCGGTAACAATGCATTCATCTGTTGACATTCTTGTTTCTCATCAGATAAATATACAATTCAGAAGAGATTGAAGGAACCAATTTCTTTCTCACAGACCTATCAATACGACAAAGAATAATACGATAAGTGAAGAAAACATGTTAACTGAAGAATGAGGAAATAACACTGCGTTAGCAAGAATTATTAATTAATCAAAGAAAGTAGTGAATAAATAAAAGCTTCCTACTAAATGCATGTAACACATCACCAATAAATTATCATTACATTTCAAGAGCTGAACATACCATTTATGCATATATCATCATCTTGTGCATCTCTGTTGTCGTCAAAGTCAATTAAAGGATAATCCGAAATTCTCGTAGAAACCCACACAATTCATAAATAACATCGATGAATTCAGTTATTACAATGTAATTTAAGGAAGTACTAAATATAAAGAGTATAAAAACTCAACTCTGTTTGAGACTATACTGCTTGATGGCCTAATTCAATGTAATATATCAATGTTAACTTTGTTAACTTTAAGGTCTAGAAAGCTAATCAATATCCTCTGTTAATCAAACAGTTTTTTCTGTATCAAATGCATCATAGTCATTCCACAAAGTCAATATAAAGGGAAAAAAATAACAAAAATTCTCATTAAACTACAACAATATAAGGGAAGAAAACACATATAAGCAACTTTTCACATTTGATATACTCATAACTACAAACAATATACCCAATTCATTATCAATAGTGTACTTACTTCCATCATAAATATGAAACGAAAAGACTTCAGATAAAAACATGCATTATGTGTATTGTGGATAAACAGGTTGTGAAATGTTCAAAATATCAGGTTCTTCTTTTTGATTTGTAAATATTAAATTTTAAAAAAGGAAAGCAAAATTATCAAGGAAATTTTAACCTTCTTCTTTTGACTTCCAAAAAAAGGAATTCATCTTCAATATCTCTCCCAATAACACCTTAACACAGGTTACAAACATGGATGCGATTATCGGCTTTTAGCCTTTCACATCCACTAGAGGGAAGTGTAGAGTACCAGTTATTAGAATGAGTGTAGAACAGCAAAAAGAGACTTTGAGAACAAAAGGAAAATGACATTTTAAATGACTTTGGTTTGAAGAAGAGAAACCTATAAAATAAAAGATAATGTGAAAAAGAAGTAGAAAACGAACAACTGTTGAAGGAGCAAAGCTATGGAGGGAGGAGTGTGTGACTCTGCACTTAGCCGCATCACAGATACTCTTGTGGTGTTTGCTTCTTGTTGAAAGCCCACACTGATCAATACAGAAAGTGAAAATCAATTATATGCTATAAATTGAAAAAGCTTCAAATGAACAAAGCACGGAGACGTGTGATAAATACAAAGCGAACTATTCTTTCGCCTTTTACTAAAGAATACCGTGTATTTGTCACATTAAGCGGCATACGCCTATTTTTGTAAAGGGATCTAATCAGATCCTACAATTTTAGTCTAACTTTTTTTAATGATCTTTATTTAAATAATTATTTATTAAAAGACTGTTATAGAAATGTTATTTGATGTATACACAAGTCACATTTCAATTGAGAAACACTATAACTTTCTAATATCAAATTTTTTTTAAAATAGAAAACAAAACAAAATGCCATATTAATAAGATGAAGGCGTATCATCCATATTTATAGACATATCTAAATTGCTAAATCTCTTCTTATAGACATATCTAAATTGCTAAAACTCTTCTTACATCTGTTCATTTTTTCCTTATATATTTCCCTGTTTGTCAATATTCTTCTTTTAATAATCAGAAGTCTAGTTGCATAATATAATATGGTTATATTATATGAAGTTGAAATGACGAGTACATAGTATTGTAAGTGTTAAAATAGTGTATGAAGTTGAAATGACGAGTACATAGTACTTTAATAGTGTTAAAATAGTGCACATATCATAATACATTACTGAACAATCATTTTCAATAATGTTATTATTATTTTTATCATAAATTACATATTATTAATATTTCACATATTAAAAGACAAAATTAATGTTATAGTATGTAAGTAAAAATAAATATTACTTTAATGAGTTAGACTCAAATCTAATTTTTTTTTCTTACTATCCAATAACAATAGTTGGATTAACATATAAGTAGGTATAAAATGTTAAAACAATATTATAAAAATCATCTAAATTTTAATAAAAAGAATTAAAACTATGATGCATGTGTTTAAATTCTTGGAAACATTTTCTGCAAAATCTTGTTGGTAGATTATGTGAGTCAGAGAAGAAGGGGTGAAAGTGATGTCTCATGTCATACAACTATGTGTTTGAGTTGTGGTCCATTATATCTTTTCTTTTATTATTTTATATTTTCTTTTCTCTTCAAATTGTTTCAGTCTCAATGGTTGAGACATAAAACAAGTTGTGCATCTATGGACCATTCAAATTTACCCACTTTAAAAACTTTTTTTTTGGATAAACTAAAATATAATATTTTATTCTATAATATAAGTGGTTTAATCCTTACATTCTTTGAATTACTTTCTTCTATTTAGTTTAAAGTTTATTTAAGAATATTATCTTAAGAAAAACTAGTAGTGACTGAAATGATTACAAATTTGAAATAATGAGATTTGCATTTCTTTTAAGTGATTTTAAGCATGATTGAATAAANTTTGACCATTTCATAAATTTTATTCATTCTATTTTGAATTTTATTACGTTTATTAAATTATTTATATTTAATCAAATTTTATTTTTTGATGTATTAACACTATCATTTAATTGATGAAATTGATTAACACATTGATTGATAAAAATAAAACATGAAGAAATTAAATTTCTAATTAAAAATATTAAACGTACATAAAAATACAAAGTTATTACATCATTCAAATTACTTAATAAAAAATAAATTACAATTAGAAATACATTAATAAAACAACAATTAATATGAATAAATCAATAATAAATAAGAATGCAGTTAAGAATTTTGATGAAAATTTCTCATTTTTTTACCATATATTCAAAGTCTCTAATTTTATACAAAGTATAATTTAATTATCAATATTTAAAATGAAAATTAAACTTATTTTAAACTATCACTAACAATAAAAAATATATTTTTGTGTAAAATTAAAATAAAAATTAAACTTATTATTAGTGAAGGTAGAAGGTAAAGGTAGCAGAAAAGCAAAATATATTTTTGTGTAAACAATGATTTTTTTTCCTATGTATATGTTCAACTTGATTTTACCGTTTCATCTTGGTGCAGTTTCATCTCTTGTAGTGTTTTTTAGCTCAATATGTATTTGCATTTTATGAACATTTTCTGAAAGTTGAAATTGTGAATGTCATCGTGGTGAGAAACTCTTGTATGCAACAGTTGTATTTAATAAGAAAGTGATTAAATATACATGCATCTTTACAAAATTTACCAAATTTTATTTTATTTTGAAAACTAGGTGATTAGAGGTTGTCATTTTTTAAGGCATTGAAAAAAATGGTGTATGTTATTTGTAAAATAATTTTACTTCAATGCTATATTTGGAAACACAGAAGAATGTTTTTAATTATGCCTACAACTTAAACAATTTAATTTAGTAAATTTCTTATTATCTTTATTATATATTATATTAACAATAAAGTAGCTTATAAAAATGAAATGTTTTTTTCATATATAAAAAAAGTTCTCTTTTAACATTGGGACTTAAAAAAGATTGTATAAAATTTCTTATAGTTTTATATCGCTTAATAAAAAATTAAAATAGTTTAAATACTCTGTCACTTATGAAATATGATTTATTTTAAAATATGAGATTCTATTATTAATTTTATTTTTAAAAAATATCTCTGAATAATTAAATTACTTTAAGTATCAATTTCTAAACGTCATAACTTTGACATTCTTGTTATTTCTTATACTCTCGTTTCAAAACACAAAAGTGAGATTTTCCTCCAATTCATGGAAAGTAAAAAACTCCTTCCATCCATACCAAATTTTGATGGACTTTCTTTGTGTTCTATATTTGACCGTTGTTGTACACACAGAACAAATAAAGAGAAGAAATAAAACAAGCAAAATTATCTGATAGTTGAACAGTAAGAATAGATAATAAGGATAATAAAAATATATATATAACATATAATTTCAAATTTTCTAAGCAGTTGTAAATGACAATATACTTATAAACAGAGCATTTAATGTTTGGAAAATAAATAGCAATTTTCAAATGGGTGCATACCCATAGACTCCATACTTAACCGAAATTTAGAACAGTACACACTACAGAATATTAAAAAGTAAAAAATAGGAAATAAATTAACAAAAGTTTCACACATATCGAAAATGCAAGTATGTCTGTTAAGGTTAAACAAAATTGGTTTGAGAAGATGAAAAAACGCCTTAGCATTGCAGAAAACAAATTGGGTTGAGAAGAAGAAAGACATTATGCTGTGTGTTTCGGTCACAGAAAAGAACTTAACCAAAAAAAAAAGGAAAAAAAAAAATCAGATCTTACCAATCTCAAACACTACCTCATGATTAAAACACAAACTTGAACAGCTTTAAGGTTCATCAGTGAAGAAAACCTAATGACATTTTAAACGACTTTTTGGGTTGAAGAGGAGTAACCTGAAATAAAAAATAATGAGACAAAGAAGTAGAGAACGAACAATTGTTGAAGGAAAGAGTGTGACTTTGGACTTAGCCGCATCACAGATACTCTCTGTGGTGTTTGCTACTTGTTGAAAGCCCACACTGATCAATACAGAAAGTGAAAATCACTTATCTGTTATAAATTGAAGAAGCTTCAGAAGGTCAAAGCACGGAGCCGTGTGCTAAATACAAAGCGAACTATTCTTTCGCCTTTTACTAAAGAATACCGTGTATTTGTCACATTAAGCGGCATACGCCTATTTTTGTAAAGGGATCTAATCAGATCCTACAATTTTAGTCTAACTTTTTTTAATGATCTTTATTTAAATAATTATTTATTAAAAGACTGTTATAGAAATGTTATTTGATGTATACACAAGTCACATTTCAATTGAGAAACACTATAACTTTCTAATATCAAATTTTTTTTAAAATAGAAAACAAAACAAAATGCCATATTAATAAGATGAAGGCGTATCATCCATATTTATAGACATATCTAAATTGCTAAATCTCTTCTTATAGACATATCTCTTCTTACATCTGTTCATTTTTTCCTTATATCTTTCCCTGTTTGTCAATATTCTTCTTTTAATAATCAGAAGTCTAGTTGCATAATATAATATGGTTATATTATATGAAGTTGAAATGACGAGTACATAGTATTGTAAGTGTTAAAATAGTGTATGAAGTTGAAATGACGAGTACATAGTACTTTAATAGTGTTAAAATAGTGCACATATCATAATACATTACTGAACAATCATTTTCAATAATGTTATTATTATTTTTATCATAAATTACATATTATTAATATTTCACATATTAAAAGACAAAATTAATGTTATAGTATGTAAGTAAAAATAAATATTACTTTAATGAGTTAGACTCAAATCTAATTTTTTTTTCTTACTATCCAATAACAATAGTTGGATTAACATATAAGTAGGTATAAAATGTTAAAACAATATTATAAAAATCATCTAAATTTTAATAAAAAGAATTAAAACTATGATGCATGTGTTTAAATTCTCGGAAACATTTTCTGCAAAATCTTGTTGGTAGATTATGTGAGTCAGAGAAGAAGGGGTGAAAGTGATGTCTCATGTCATACAACTATGTGTTTGAGTTGTGGTCCATTATATCTTTTCTTTTATTATTTTATATTTTCTTTTCTCTTCAAATTGTTTCAGTCTCAATGGTTGAGACATAAAACAAGTTGTGCATCTATGGACCATTCAAATTTACCCACTTTAAAAACTTTTTTTTTGGATAAACTAAAATATAATATTTTATTCTATAATATAAGTGGTTTAGTCCTTACATTCTTTGAATTACTTTCTTCTATTTAGTTTAAAGTTTATTTAAGAATATTATCTTAAGAAAAACTAGTAGTGACTGAAATGATTACAAATTTGAAATAATGAGATTTGCATTTCTTTTAAGTGATTTTAAGCATGATTGAATAAAAATAAAAAATTAATAAGAATATATTAGCAATCATATTAAATAATTAAAAAAGTGTTGATCAAATATGAATAATACAACATTGTTGGTGGTGCTCTATCTAGATCTCCTTATCTCATCCATCCACCTCAACTTTGAGCTTATCATTGGTGTTTTTCTGTCTTTTTCGTTAATAAAATCAAACATGCATTGTTCACTTTGGTTGAGTTTTTATTTTATTTTTATTTGAATGATTAAAAATGTGAAGAAAAGAGATAAAAGAAAGAATGAATGAAAGAAATGTTATTTCTTTAACTTTTTACTGTTATTTTAGTGTCTTTGTTTCGTGTCAATCTCACTTTTCAACCTTCAAAATAGAATGTTTTCTCACTGTGGATTCATGTTTAATATGTTATAATAAAATCAATTTATTGTTAAAAATTAGTTATTTGTTTTTGTTTTTAAGCACATTTAAGTTATCACTACTATTGTTTTTTACTTTTGGCATATTTTCACCATCTTCATTGAGAAAATTAGATTAGTTATATCACATCATTATTTGAAAGAATAAAAGTAAATATAATATATGATAATAAGTTTTTATTATACTAATTATCAAATTTGTGTTAATTGTGCAAGCACGAGGTGTTGAATGATGGTCAGTTGAGTTTTTTTTAATAATTATATATATATATATATATATATATATATATATATATATTATTAATTAACTAAAGTAAATAAATTATAAAAATTATATTAAATGTATTTAATTTAATGTGTCATTTCTTAAATTATTGTTATATCATTATTTAAAACTCTCATCCTCTCTTTCTTTTTTTTCTAATATCTCCTAACTCATACTCCTATTTCATCGCTCATTTTTTTCATTTTACATTTTTTATCACATTATTATTACATTCATCGTTTTTTACTCTCTTTTTTATCAAATGAACGTTTGTGATTATTTTTTTATTTTTACTTCTAAGAAACAAAAAGGATTTTGTATTTATTCAAATAAAAACATAAGCCATTGCATGGCAAAAAAGTGTTAATAATCATGAAAATTTGCTTGGATGCATAGATTAAATTAAAAAATAGACAGTGACAAAAAGAAGAAAAAAACAAAAAATCTGACACTACGCAATAGATCAAATGATAAAAATAATATATATATATATGAAAAAAAGAAAGAGTGACAGCAAATTCTAACAAAATTAAGAAAGAAACAAGTCTAAATGATACAGTAGAAACACTATAAGGCTTTGTTTGATCAAGGTGAAATAGTAAAGAAATAAGGTTTTGTTCCTTGATTTAATAAATTAATTAAGCTATTTTCACTTTCATCAATTTTAAGTGTGTACAGGATTGAGTTTTTTTTTTTTTTGTGTTTTAAAAATATATTAATAAATACTGACTTTTATATTTTAAGATATATTTAAAAAGTATAATATATCCAGTATTTGAAATGTTTAAGAAAAGATAATATTAAAAAAACTAGAAGAGAATTTGACCAATATATATACTTTTTTTTTAAATAAATATAAAATGAATGATATATAAAATTTTGACAGTACATATTAAATACTGTTTATTTGAATGTTTGTAATAAGGAAAATGAATTTCTTATATCATAAGAGGATGAAAAGAAAGGAAAATAGGTCGCAGGGGAACAGAAGAATCTACTCTCTATATTAAGGTATCCAGCGCCAACAACACACTCAGTAGCATTTTGCAGTGAGTGTGTGAGAGAGAGTATCAGACATGGAAGATTCCCAGTTTGACGTCATAATCATCGGAGCTGGCGTCATGGGCAGCGCCACCGCCTACTATGCCGCCAAACGCGGTCTCAGGACCCTTCTCCTGGAGCAATTCGACTTCCTCCACCACTGCGGTTCTTCCCACGGCGAATCCCGCACAATCCGCGTCACCTACACCCAAAAACACTACTACCCTTTGGTCATGGAGTCTTACAACCTCTGGCAAGAGGTCGAGGCCCAAGTGGGCTACCAGGTATACTTCAAGGCCCAACACTTCGACATGGGCCCCTCTCACGATCCCACAATCCGCTCCGTCGTCGACTACTGCCAGACCTACGCCATCCCCTTTCAACTCCTCCGCCGCCGCCAGGTTGCGGAGAAATTCGCCGGCCGTATCGACATCCCAGAGGATTGGGTGGGTGTCTCCAACGAATATGGTGGCGTCATCAAGCCAAGCAAAGCCGTCGCCATGTTCCAGACACTGGCCTACAAAAACGGCGCCGTCTTAGTAGACAAAACCAAGGTGGTGGACATCAAGAAAAACAAAAACGGAGAGGGTGTGGAAGTTTTCAGCGCAAGCGGCAAGAGATTCCGCGGTAAAAAATGCGTGATAACTGTGGGTGCATGGATGCAGAAATTAGTTAAAACGGTTAGCGGGGTAGAACTCCCGATAGTGCCCGTGGAGACACACGTTTGTTACTGGAGAATAAAAGAGGGGGAAGAGGGGAAATTCGAGATAGGAACCGGCTTTCCTACGTTTGCATCCTTTGGGAACACTTACATTTACGGAACGCCCACACTGGAGTTTCCGGGATTGATTAAGGTGGGGGTGCACGGAGGGAATCCGTGCGACCCCGACAAGAGGCCGTGGGGTCCGGCGGTGATGATGGAGGAGTTGAAAAAGTGGGTGGGAGAAAGGTTCTAGGGCATGGTTGATTCCGGTGAACCTGTGATAAAACAGTCTTGCATGTACTCAATGACTCCGGACGAGGATTTCGTCATTGATTTCTTGGGCGGTGAGTTCGGAAAGAACGTGGTAATTGGAGGCGGGTTTTCGGGTCACGGCTTCAAGATGGCTCCGGTTATTGGAAGGATCTTGAGTGAGCTTGCGATCGATGGGGAAGCGCAAGGAGTTGATCTCAAACATTTTAAGATTGAAAGGTTCAGGATAACCTCAAAGATTTAGGTATCTTCATTAATTTATCTGTAACATCACATCACATATCACATCATCAATTTGCGTTTGTTTGTTTCCTTCAAATGTTTCTGTCCTGTGAGTCCAGGTTTGCTGATCTTCTTCTATATCAAATTATATTAAATTAAACCTGCTTCTTTGTATTTAAATAAAATGTTAGTGAAAGTGCAAGCTA